TTGAGTAAAGCCTAGATTAAAAGGATTTATTTCTGTTAAAATTTTATTTGGTTGTTCTATAGCTTTGTCCCCTTCTACTTTTAATTGTTTGATGCAGGATTTTTTGTTGTTGTTTTTTTTGTTGTTTCTTGCAAATATGCTATATCAAAGTGTTTTTCTTTCAGCCAATTAGAAATTTTCTTTCTCTTGTTGTAGTCCCTGAGGCCTCTAACATTGAGGGTCACAATAGATAATTGCTCTTCCATGAGTGCACATGTTCGTACTTGGTTTTACAGGAAATAGCAAAGTTGAATAAGCCCAATTTTTTAAAGATTAGAAATTTTCTTTCTCTTGTTGTAGTCCCTGAGGCCTCTAACATTGAGGGTCACAATAGATAATTGCTCTTCCATGAGTGCACATGTTCGTACTTGGTTTTACAGGAAATAGCAAAGTTGAATAAGCCCATTTTTTTAAAGTAACACAAACAAAAACAACAAACATTAAGGGCATTGGCAAAAGCCAAAGGACACATGGTAACTGGAAGAAACAGTATAGTACTGCAGCATGGGACGGCTCCCAAGTACTCAATATGAATATGTTTACAATTATTTCATTATGTTGCCTATCTAATTGTAAATGTTTCCTTGTGACCCTAATTACAAGTTCTGTAATGTGAAGTCAGAGATAAACTTAATAAATGCCATAAGGGCTTCATATAATAAAAGTTTTAACTGAAAGTTGGCAAGTCCTTTACCATCACGGCCTTCATTTTTCCTCTGTCATCTTCGATCATGCAGGTCGCCGGTACACGCCACGCTATGTAACACTTTTTCTTTGGGTTTTCACTTTGAAATTTCTTTCGGTAGACAGCCTTTTTCTTTCGTTTAGTAAACTCCTGCTCACATCGTCAGTCACGAATATTTCCTTTCCAGCATACGGGTTGTTCCGAAGACATTTAGGAGCAGCGAACAAAATATTTCTGGCAATACTGGCTTCCACGAATCCCACTTTTATAGGCCGTGGTTTCCCTGAACGAAGTGGCTGCGCTGGTACCCTATGTGCGCGTTGGATGGTCACGCGTTCTCCAATGCCCCTCACTTCCATGTGGGATATGATGAATTTCACTATGAACTTGGCACAGGATTTTTCTTCTCTTTCTATCCCTTCTTCAAAGTTGAAGAAGTTTAGGTTTATTCTTCTCCCTCTGTTTTCTAATTCTTCATTCTTTATTTCTGCTATCTTCATGCTGTTTTCTAGCTCATTTATTTTGTCCGCCAGTTCTTCTACATCGGCTGCTTTGGTCACGTGTTCTAGACTTTTCTCAATTTCGTCCATGCGATCACTCATCTGGTTTAAATATACCTCAATGTCCGATACTTTCTGTAAGTTCCCCCTTCAGTGGGTCGATTTTCGAGACTTCGTTCCTAATTGAGAACAACAGTCTGAGGACTACTGCTGATCGATGATCTTCCGCGAGTTCCATGGCTTTCTCTAGGTCGCCATCTTGGATAATAAGTCCTAGGACTCTACGAGTTTTGTGTTCGTCGTTAGCATCTCGTCAACCTTCCTCTCTGTCGTAGCGGTCTCATTTTCCCCTGTGGTTGTTGTTTTCTTCTTTTGAGGCATTATTTCGTTAAAATACGTTAGTTTCCTTTCTTTTTTCCTGGAGCCGTCTGCTTCGAAGCTAGTGATTGTAATGCAAGCGCAGACCCCGTTTTCCTCTTAGCCACCGGGCATCTCACAAACAGGAAGCGTGAAACACGTCTAGGCCACATAGCGTAACCACGGCAACTATAAAACGCAGTATATAGGTTCAAGTTACTTCCAATACATTTGAATTATGTCATTAATAAACATTGCAATGTGGCAATATACATATGTACCGCGGCCCCGTAGAAGTTAATACGCTGATAGATTCCCCGGCCGCTGCTCGTAACGATGAGCTCAGTCATGGTCATTGGAAATCACTGCATAATTATTATATTTTGATGGCACCCACCCCGGGGGCAATACATAGCACTTGCATAATGGGGACGTGCCCCTGAAATGGGTCTCGTTTTTGGATTTTAGGTATAAATATCGGTCCTATTTCTGGTCAAGATAGGTATAAATATCGGTAATATTTATTAACATTGTGTTAATAATATGCCCATAATAAGCTCTTATGTAAGTGACAGAGATATTTCTATGGTCAAAATACACATTAATATACAATGCAATTGTTGGCAATTCATGTGCTTCTATTGGAGATGCTCTTCTAATAGAGCAAATACGGTAACTGTTTTATTAGGAATAAACAAGGATGACGGAAATGGTATTTTGATATAAATATGGGTATAGATTTTGCCACTATCCAGGTATAAACATGGTCACACTTTTGAGCACTCAGGGACACCGGGCTACACAACGCCATTGAGTTGGCAATGATTTCACGGCACGGTAATTCACGCCAAACAATTTCACCGACAACAACCCTATAATTTCTGTTGATGTATATTCGTAGCAGAATATATGTCAGCTACATCTCTTCGAGTTGGGCTGGAAATACTATGAATTCAATTAATTCAATTTCGGAAAGAAATATAATAACAAACTTCTTTCATTTGTGTTTCTAAATACGTTATCATACAAGGAACAGGGAAATTAAGTCACACCTCTTTCAAAAGTAATCACCGGGGGTTAACTCTTGCAAAGACCTCTACAAAACCTGCGCGGGAATCGAGTCCCAAGCGACGATAACAACACACGCTAAAACGCAAAGGCTCATGGGTAGACGCTTGTTTGTAAACAATGACGTAGTATGGCCGTCTGACGCATGCGCAGGTGACGACTCCCCCGCTTTAACGCGCACGTGGGCTTATGGTTATGTCTCTCTTAATCAAGAAAAACAATGTACGTAGAACAGTTCTGTAGTCCATTCTATATGCCCGTATCTCACGCGTGCGCGGCGAAAGGAATTCTTCCTGATAAGTTTCAACTGAATTACTGTTAAATGAGAAATACTATTGATGTTAGTCTACAGATACAGTTACTGGTAGAACGAACTGGTCACGATGACAAGAATTCAAGCAATATGTGCAGTATTTATAATACTGGCGACTGTTGTGTTTGTTACACATGTGGTAAGTGGTAGATGTCACATCCCAAATGGAACATCTTAAAATCGAACGGTCGGCAGAGTTTCAAAATCAAATTTAAAACTCAAATTTGAATTATTTCAGGAGACACGCCCCGAACCTCCCGAGGAGCAACCCAGTCCCGGTACTTTGGAGTCTGATATAAAGTTAACAAAGTATCAACGACAAGCTATTGCAGAAATGGTGCTGGAGGTGGAAAGCGGAGCGAGTGTTAGAAAAGCTCTTGCTAATCTTACATATCTTTGGCCAAATGCTACGTTGCCTTACGTCATATCCGCTTCAAGTAAGGACGATATAGGGGGGCAAGGGGGTAGCTGGTACAGTTTTACGGGAAATAAAAAGGGCTTTCTACAATTTACAAGGAAAAAAAGACATTTTTACAGTTTACAGTGAAAATTGAATTTTGCAGTGAATTGTGTCATCTAGTCGTTTTAGAGTTTCGAAAATGTAATTTCCCTGGTATTCTTTACGACTTTTTTTTTATTTGGATGTAAATTCTTGTACGTAGCGAGAAAAATGGCACATTATTACAGCGTACGAAACAAATATTTGATTTATTACGTTGTACGTCTAGCCTGTGATTACAGAACCTACGGAATTTATTGTTTTTAATTTACGTTGTACGAACAAAACAATATTGCAATTACGTTGAACGAAAATAACCCTTGCCCTCTTCGATATACACTTGTACTATGCGGCTATTGTTTGTTTATGTTTGTATTCAATCTCTACCGCTGCTTGCAACAGTTATTTATATCATTACAGGTGCAAATAACGCTACCTTAATAAAACAAGCACTTGCATATTGGGAGAGCAACACTTGTATTAGATTCCCGCTACATGATTCGCCAGACGAAAACGCTCCCAGAATAGAATTCATAAAGGAGTTCGGGTAAGGTGACTAACATGTAGATTATACCTTCACAATTTGGTGACATAGATCATTGCTTTACTATCCTTTCACCGATAACTGACGATTATTGAAATATTGTTTGAACATTTATCAATACATTTCAAGCGGGCGAGTCGTCACCTGCGCATGCGTCAGATGACCATAGCGTGTCATTGTTTACAAACAAGCGTCTACTTATGAGCCTTTACGCTTGTAGCGTGTGTTATCGTCGCTTGGGACTCAATTCCCGCGCGTGCGCAGGTGACGACCCTCCCGCTTTAACAATACCACTAATCAACTTTAATGTTTTGTTTTTTTGTGGGGGTGGGTGAAGTGCGGGTCCGATTTCATTATTTTTTTAGGATAATCAAATCAATAAAATGTCAAACTATTTCTAAGGTAAATCGATTCAGTACTAAATCGATTTAGTGTCGCCATCTCTGATTCCTTCGGAATTAGTTCTGTGGCGAATTACTGTAAAATACATTATTTTCGCTTGGAATCATTTTTTGCTATTTTCGCTGAAGGAATGATTCAGAGGTAATAAAATCAAGCAAATATTCTTTTTTTCCCTATATTTTACATTTAACTCGTCCAAAATCATTGAAAATAAAATCCATACAAAACACCCAAAAAGTCTTTTCAGCGAAAATTAATTCCAGCTAAAATAAAGTATTTCACAGTATTTGAGCTGATGTTCAGCATTTAAAAAAAATTGTTGTGCCAGAACACTCGGTGCCATTGTTTTCTTCCAATTGCGATGGACGAATGGTTCTCAACACAACTTTATTATTGTCGTCTATGATCACTGCGAGCTATGTTAATGTTTATTTCGCTTGAATGTTTTGATGAGTTAAACCAGTTTGTAAGAATGTTGTTAAATTGAATAGATCCAATATGAAGGGTAAAAAGCACAGTTCTTTATGCTGTTTGTTTTTTGTTTCTACGAGTTATTTAGACTGGTAGTGTTATGTAGCGCAGTATGAATATTCGAGTTGTAGCGACATAAACTCTATGTTAAGCTCTCGATTTTGAATCATCCCAGAATAAAGAAAACAATGTTATGTAACTAATTATATCATGATTGAAATATCATTTGTGAATAGCTCTTGACAACCAGTTTTATAAACGTTACACAATTATTGAGTGTGTATCTAATACTAATAACCAAATTCAATACGCAAGGCAAATGATATGTATTAATTTGCTAAAATAACATCAAAATGACAGAAATGACTATAATATGTTACGATATGATATTGGTACGACATTCGCATATATCTGGGGGTATTTAAAACTAAAAATCGGCATTCCAGCTTAGCAGCCAATCAGCGACGGCCTAACGCTTAGATGACAATTTCGGTTTCAAATACCCCGGTTTAGTGTTCTATGTTCTTCGCGTAATTAGGTGTTCGTATGCAAGGGATATTTCCACACAAAAACGACGAATTAGGCCGAATTTTGTCATCGGTTGGCTTAATATAACCCCAACGGACCGTATTTTTATGAAAGATTGGTATTTTTGTCCTGATTTGTAGGAATCGGAAAAACGCGTTTCACAACTTGTCTCTTATTTAGTTTTATGCGTCATTCAAGATGGCGGCCCCCATGTAGTAAATATCGTATTTATTTTATTATCACGTTTGCGCCAGCTGACTGTGATCTCGCCCAGTGCGTGGCACGACGACTACCATCCTTTAAGTGATATGGTTATTGACGAATTCGTTCATATATTACCTTTGTAGGTGTTATTCTTCTGTTGGTTACACTGGCGGATTCCCGCAAGAAATTTCAATAGGAGATTTCTGTGTTACAGTAAGTTATATTTATGCTGTATGTTGTACTTTTGATTTGCAGTATTTGCCAGTAGTATAATGGCCGCCTGGTTTCGATATTGTCCACCGTGCACATGAACTATGGAAAAGCTTCATTTGGAAGAAGTCATTTTAAAAAAATATATATATGCGTTAGTTACCAACTTAGCAGAATAGTTAATTATTAGTAGTGGTATCATTACTTGATTAAAAATATTACTACCAAAATACATATCTTATTTGCCGTGGACTGATTGACGCAATTCTTCCATATCGCGTAAAATGGAAAGTTTTACCATGACACATATTTAATATTGCCCTTGACAAGTTGCATTGTTAGAACAGTCTGGATGTCACATACTTGCGTAATTAACATAATTACGTAATTATGTGTGGATAATTGGTTGACTGGTTAATTAGTTAGTTGGTTGGTTGATTGGTTAGTTAGTTGGTTGGTTTATTGGTTGATTGGGTGGTTAATTGATTGATTGGTTAATTGATTAGTTATTTACTCTGTATTTCTATGTTTAGTTCTATGTATTATTTATTTACTGTTGTAACTAGTCTTTGTAGCATTTTTTTTTGTAATTATCAATTGTGTTAGGTGAATACTACGCCCTTGTATTTTTCCCCATTGAAATAATTGTATACAGCATTACGATTGCTATCTTCTGTTACCCCAGCCATGGATCAGTTGCTCATTTTATTTTATTTTATTTTTTAATATTTATTATTTCACAATGTACTTCTTTCTTGTCGTATGTTTTTAGTTCTTTGTACTACCTGTAATCTATAGCAAATAAATAAATACTAAAATACTCACTTTATACTTTTAATACAAAAGTCAAGTTTTGATACCTTTCACAAATTAAATCGGTATAAT